GGAGGCGGGTCCAGTTTGTACAACCGGGGGAGAGATCGCAATGCATCTAACCGTAATGCATTGCGTCAGGATCAGAATGTGTTGCTTTAAGCCAGTGCTGTAAGCAAGTCGAACGCACCCAATGACCGGACTGGGGAAACAAACTGAAACGCGGACTTAATACAGAGGACTAATGACAACAACCAGAAACAGCTGATCACATGGGGATCCCACACGAGGTTAACAAGGGGGCGTGGCACACAGAAGGAGCGGACGATGGGGGCAGGACAGGGGTAATGTTGGGATAAGATCTTTATCGTTTTGGACGCCTTTAAGGAAAAAATGCTCTTCTTGTTTTATCCTGTTCATTTTGTGTTTAAATGCAAAAAAAAAAAAAAAAAAAAAAAACATATTTAGGTGTAATTTTGGGGGGCCGGGAACCAATTAATTGGTTTTCCATTATTTCTTATGGGAAGAATGGAAAGAACTCAAACTTTTTAGGGTTCGATCCGGAGTCCGGAACGGATTAAGAGAACCGAGGTACCACTGTATATGTAACTAATACCATGGCTCATCAGAGAAACGGTCCATTTCTTATCCTGGTCAGTGCCGTGGTGGGATGGCAGCACAGGACACAATGCTGGGGGCACCTGGGATTAGTAAGTGCAGCAGGCAAACCCCTTCTGCCTGTCTACAGCTTTCTGAGCAGCCGCCAGCCTGCTCTGGCCCCCGGCAGTGCCACCCCATGGGCTGTGCCTGTGTTACACAGCTGCTCGGGTCTGCTTTACTGCAGAGTTTAACGCAATGTGGGACAGGAGCAGAAACGCCTGTCACAGGGATAGCAAGGAGGACCTGGGAGTGTTGCAGTGACAGCTAGACATGCGGTCGGCCATCATGGTCTGGCTATGGTTACTGGGGCTGATTTACACTGATGCCTCCATTGGGTGTGGAATGGGGTACACATGACGATCTGTCACGTGACCTGTCTCCCATTCCCCCCTCCTCCTCATAGGTATTTCACTTATCATCAGGTAATGTATTCAGTGTTAATTTCAAGGTGTCCTGTGATCAGTGATGCCAAGTGCCGCTCGTGGTAGGGGGGGAGGGATCCCCCAACCAAAATTACATCTTGTTATTACCTTTATTGGCAGCTGAGGGAGTTGGGCTGTGTGCATATGTGAGACTGTGCATGCACATACGTGCGTGTGGACATGTACGTGGATTGGCTTTTATTCTCTATTATCCATTTTTTTTGTTTTGCAACTGTATTGTGTGTGCGTGCGTGCGTGCACCCACCCACCCTTACCTGCACCCTCTGCTTCCTGGGAGAGGCTCTAAGCTGTGACGTTGTATTGGATAAGGAGCTGGAAAGGAATGGCTGAGTTTTATCGATTTATGTTTTTTATTATTAGTTTAAGAGATTTATGGGTTGGGGTGTGTTTGGCCATAGTGGGAGGGGGCACAGTGACTGCCAGTGACCAGTGTGCTGATTTAGATCTGTTACCAGATCTGCTGTGGGGGGAGAACAGGAATAGCACCCCTCCCCCCGTTAGCTGCAGTGCTGTCTGCCCCCTGTTCCAATCACTACAGAAGAAAATTCCTCCTGCTGGACAGATGAACAAGGTTTGTCCTGTTTGTGCCTCTTTTCTTTTTGGGTGGGGTGGAGTGGGGGGGGGGTGGTTGGGCTCATGCTTACAGCCCTGACTTTTGCAGGAAAGAAACGCACAGGCATCTCGAGTTGCGGTCTTACTTTACCCACTGATCCTCGGCTCTGTAAATGTCACATCGGGCTGGTCCACCTGCCGAGGTTCGGCTTTGGCAGAGCGGTGTAATTGGACAGCTTGGCCAGAGAGGGCAGGTGGCGAAATCCGGTAACACCATGACCGTATATGTGTGTAAATATTTGGTTTTTATCTTTAGTTCTAAGTTCTTATATATTCCAAAATATTTCAACATTTTGCATTGAAAATACATTTAAAATTTGCATTATAATGCATTTAAAAAGAGTATCACTTGGCTCAGAATCATGTAGAAACTGTGCAGTTTCCGTGTTCTACTTTTTAATTAAAATAAATTAGTAAGTGCCAAGCTGACTTCTCGCCAACAGACAGCTGAGTGTTCGGTTGTTTGTGTGTGTGGGGGTGGGGTGTGACAGCAGGCTGAGGGACCTCCCCACTGTTCTGGGGTCATGTCCACCTCTGTGCAGCTGCTTTTGTAATGTATGTCATTCTGCTGGCTGCAATGAGAAAGGGAGGTGGAGAGATGAAGCCTAAACAGGGGGAGGGGGGTCAGTGTGAGGAAGGCGGGGGGCCCCATCCCCTGGGCTCTTGGACCCACTTACAGCTGCAATGCACCTGCTGCATTTTGAGCTTACCTCTGGGGTTTTGGAATCACATCTTCACTGGCCTGCGGGACAGAAACTGTCCCTGGGCTGGCCTGACCTGTTTGGCTCCCCTGTCCAGCTGAAGCAAGCAGCTCTTGCACAAAAGTGAAACGTCGGCAGGGTCACGCACCATGGTGGTGTCGTGTTCGTGCTGACCGTAGGAACAGTATAAGCTGTTGTGGTTGGATCATGTGAGAAGTTCAGGAAACATGTTGAGTCTGATGCATGGAGTTTAACCCCCCCCCCCCCAGTGAAACCATGTGTGTTGATCATGAGAGAGATGCTGATCTCAGTAGCCGCTGTGCTGAGAGATGGAACCAAAAGAGAATGGGCACCCCCAGTCCCCTGTCCCGGCTCTCACCAAGCCTCAGACCCTGGGTCATTATTAATGCCGTATGCATGTATGTCAGCTCATCCCAAAAACTGCCAATGGCCTCAACTGGCTACCAATCCCATGTAATCCCTCCTTCCCCTTTGCTGAAATGTCTCACTTTCACATGGCTCTGTCAGAATGAGGAAGTGAGACAGTCACATGGGGTTTTTACGCAGAAGTCGCTGAGCAGGCTTGGGATACAGCTTCCCGGCTCGGCTGAAGGTAAGCGCTCCTCTCCTGCGTCCCAGCTCCCTGGCTTGTGCTCCAGGCTGACTGAAACACTTCACAGAAGGTTTAGCTTTGAGGGGGGGCACTGGGACGAGAGGTGGTAGAGGGCGTGGTCAGCGGCCCAGGAATTCTTAAAGGCGTACCTATAGCGTGCCCTTCAGGGGACTGGCTTCATGTGCTGCTGTGAACCGGCTTTTTATTTAATTATTTATACTCATTTAAATGCCAGGCAGATCTTAACTCTTGAGTCTTGCACGGATGGAGTGTATGAAAGTGTTTTCTTGTGCTTTACATCAAGGGGGTGTTGGTAAGCTTTCTTTCTGAGGGTTGTGGCTGTTCTGGGGTGACAGGGACAACAAAAAAAAGCCACCACCGCTTCATCATATGAAGGTTTGCATTCTTCCAATGGAATGCGGAGCTCTGTGTCACTGAGGACACTGATAATGTAATGCAGGGTGTCCAACTACAGTATGCGATGCCACTGACCCATTGCTTTGATTGCAGAATCAAAACTAGGCATGTTGCGTGGGGGGTCATTTTGGGAACAGTCTTCAACAGAGAGATGCCAGCATGTCTGACGGCCCTGTGGCAACTCAGTGGCTGGGTGACCTCTGATTAGCAGGCGAGTCGTTGGGGTAAACGTGGCTCACGGGTCCTAGAACATCAGCCACCCCCAGCCTGGACATATTCCACTGATCCCAGGTCAGCCTGGGATGGGGTTTAGCGCCTGACTTTCACTTTTTCAGTTCTCATGTTTAATATGAACGTTATTTAAAAGGACTGATGACTCAGTCTTAGTTTCTATCAGCCCTGCACTTTCATTTTTATTGTCCCTGAACTTTGACATTTCTGAGAATCGCCACCAGCACAGAATTCAGAACCGCGGTCCTGGTTGGGTTTTATCCCTCATCTGACAACAAAAAGCTGCTTGAAATCACTGATACTGATTTTAAATGTTTTTAAATAATGTTATTTGAAGTATAAAGAGAGGTTTTAACAACCGCGGTAAACCTGCAGAGCGGCTGAGTGATGCTATGTAGTCTGTCTGTACGTGTGTGTGTCCAGGCTTGCCGCGACTTCCTGGACCTAGCGGAGACGCACAGCCGGAGATGGCAGCGCGCCCTGCAGCATGAGCGTGAGCAGCGAAGCCGCCTGGAGGAGACCATCGAGCAGCTGGCCAAGCAACACAACACCCTGGAAAGGGCCTGGAGGGAGGGTCCTCCACTGACAGCCAACACACCTGCCATCGCTCCCGCCCCGGCCAAGGGTGAGGCTTCCTCACTGCCTGCCCTCCTGCCTGCTCTCTGCTTTGCTCTCATGACCCATTGGCCATTGCGGGCTTTCTGACTGAGCGACAGCCATGTTTATCTAGCTTAGTTTACTACCCACCTGTGCACAGGTGGCGTAACCGATTCTTCGAACTGTCAAATTCTGCGTTACGTACCCCGAGCCCTCGGGCGGGCCGCCAGTTGGGTTCCAGTTTCCACTGCAGCTGCAGCTGATGCTGTCCTCGTGCTTCCAGAACGTTCTGGGCGCTGCATAGCGAGATACCAAGGCTGTATCGACCAAAAAAGCCCACCAGGTCCCACCTTTGGTCGGTTTCCACACCTCGTTTGAAAACACCGTCACCTTATTAGATGTGACTTGTTACAGTGTCACCTATCAGGACTGGCTAGCCACACCCAGCCGGTCTCACATCCTTCACCTGTGGCAGGGTCACTATGTACCTTATGCCCCCCGCAGGCAGCGAACGGCCACAGAAAGGGGAAGCGAGCGACGAAGATGAGGATACGGAGTACTTTGACGCCATGGAGGACGCGCCTGCCTTTATCACCGTGACCGCCACAGACCACACCCAGCACAAGTAAGCCGGCACCCACAGACACTGTTGCCACCGCAATCCAGCAATCAAGTGGCTCACTTCCACCATGTCCTCTTCCTCCCATGTCTCCATTTCATAGTGATGGCCAAATGAAGCTCCATGAACCGTTTGCTGTATTTTTTGACCCCACTAGATGGTAATCTCTGTTCAAAGAAAACGGGACCAAATCATGCCTCAAAGCAAACCAAGAGCACCATCTAGAGGGGTCAAAAAATACAGCAAATGGTTCATGCAGCTTCATTTGGCCATAACTATTGTTTTAAGCTTCTATTTTTTGGTGTGTGCTGTTGTTTTTTCTTGCCTGTTCTGCCTTTGGAACTAAATTCAGAGCTATCAGCCTCCCTCTGTGACATTCCGCATATTCACTTGATAGATCTGGGTCAGCCTGTCGCTTCTGTCCAGTCAGCAGCATCCTTGTCTTGTCAGTAGCTTCCTTGATGGTCATGGGGAGGATGGAAGCAGACTGAGGCTCGTTGGATGTGCTTGTGTGCTTCTGCATGTATGCGTGTCTTCTCCTGCGTTCTGTGTGAGCAAGATCTATCTGTCTCCCCCTGTCACCCTGTCTCTGTCTGTGTCAACTCTCTGTCACTCTTTCTCTCTCTCTCTCTGCCTCTTTCCCTCTATTCAAGGCTCTCTCACTCTCGCACTGCTTGTTTCACTCTGAGTACGTGTGAGTTCACACGTGTCTGTGTAAAATGATTACTCAGACCCTAGCGGTGACTTTGCTGAGTTCTGTGCATTTCAGACGATCCGTAAGCAACCTGAGCGGAGCAAGTGGAGGTCACCCCAGCGACTGGAACCATGACGACAACGTGAGGCTCTTTCATTTGCTCTGTGCTGTTGGGTGGCCTGCGGCACCGTGTCAGTTAGCATGAGAGCTCCAGAATAATCTTACCAAATCAGGTCGTAAATTTAATTTATAGGCCAGTTGTTTCTCACATGAGATAATCAGCTGACATACAGCCTACGATCACTGTTACTGTAGGAGTCATTATGTTACTGGAAGAACATGTCAGGTTATCAACATGCAGATATCTGAAGAATCAGAGTAATGATGCCACACAAATGCGAGGGACCGCAACCAGAGAGGAGAACCAAGTGTGCTAAGGGTGATGAACACCCCGTGTAAAGGGGAGGGGCAGCCAGCAGGCGAAGAAGCCAGGTCTGGGGTCAGTTTGCCAAACTAATCATCGCATCCTTGACATGGAGCCTGTAGAATACAGACTAAAGCTGATTGTTTCCTCTAGTTTTTTTCAGCAGCGGGGTCCTCCTGACTATCTGCCTCATCAACATCAGGCACATTTCTCTTCTTGGGGAAATATTTTAGCACATTCATCTGAAAATGCAGTCAGCAATATTTTAATACTTAGCTTGTGTAAACATCGTTGACAGTTATTTTAAAATTATTGATGTTTATTGAACGTTACCAGTATTATGATTGACTGAGTTCACTAATGTTAATGTTAGGTTAGCTGGACCATTATTTCATGATATATTAATAATAATTATTAACTAGAGACATAGAGAACTATGTCACATTGCGAATGTTCTTATGAACTGTAAATTCTATCTGTCTAACATTAGTTAGATAAATCCACCTTTCTCTCACTTCTCTCCTCTCTGTCTTTTTCTCTTGTTTCTATTTCCCTTTCATTGGGCATATAGGCCATTAGATGTCCGACCAGTTCGGGTGTTTGCACGGATGCATCTTGTTACACATCTCCACTTCCTGTATCTTTCATTTCATATTGAAAACCCTCTGCAGAGTCATGTAATTGCAACTTCACGATATTTCATAAAATTCTGAAGCAGCAGCAGCAATAATTTTGCAGCCACTCCAAAGTGTACTAAGCAGAAATTTATACCTCAGACGAACAATGGCGGGTTTTTGGTGGATAGGGCTTTTCCTGTGGTTTATATGTGTATATATATGTGGGACGGGGTTAGCCAATGAAACGGAATAACAGGGCTCACCTGACCACCACTTCTGAGAGGGTCATTGACACAGCAATCCTGCAGTACCCTTTACCCTAAGCCATGGTGCGGAAACAAGGACTACAAGTTAATGGTTAACTGGTTTACGTCATTGCCTTACTATACTTCACTGCTATATGCCTTGGAAGAAAGGAAGGTGAAAAGAAAGGGGGAGAGCAGTGGTGGGAGGGGGGGGTAATGTGCTATTTCCTTGACCAACCACATCATTTCATCCCCCAGTAATTTTTGATGACATTTGTAGCTGAAGCCATTTACATCCGGCAGCTCTAACTTTAGTGGCAAATTCCATTGGAGTTTATTGCGCTTGTGGGATGCTGACGGCGCTTTCCCACGGGCTTCTGCAGCACACGCAGCATGCACTTTGATGAGTGTGTCAAAGCTGAGGCTGCCATCCGCACGGTGGGGGGCTTTTCACGCTTGCCTGCTGTTCAGAGTAGTAGTGCGGCTGATTGGCGATGACCATCAGTCATCCGCATCACAGGGCCCTGCCAGGCAAGCGGTGAAAATGATTCCCCAGCCATCTTAGATACCCGCTGCTCTGGAAGGAGGCGGGACGTTTAAAGCCTTTTGTTTGTTCAATTCTCTGTTAAACTCCGGTGTGATTCAAGTGTTTGAATGTGACCCCACTTGTGGATTTTGGGTGAGCTTTGCCCCACTTGGAGGAGCAGGCAGCCACAAAGTTTCACCTCTGTCTGTCATCTTCCATGTGCAGAACCAGAAAGACACACAACAGATTTAAATGGTCTCTGGGGCCTGTTATCATGACCTGTTTTTCACTATTTATAGACACAAGAATAGCCTGAAGCTGTTGGTGTTATTAGCATGACAAATAGTATAGCACTTAAGAGTTGTTCAATTCCCGATCTATAACAGGTCCTATTTGGGCTGAATCAGTGTGACCACCTGCACCAAACGCAGCTGTGGTCAAGCAGGAGTGCTTGGACCCGCACCAGAGTCTCACAGTAACTGCCCTGCCTCTGGCTCTTAAATAGCAGAGCCATATCTGCTCCATCCCCTCAGCACCCTGCTCGGTGTTCTGGAATCTTCCCTTAGCAGTCTACTCATTCTGCAGCAGATCACCCACTGCTCGCAGTACCTAGCATCCTGTCCTGCTTGTGCCCGTCCTGCCTGTACATTGAGTTTGTATGATTGAGTGACAGCGGTCCTTCCCACAGGTGTCCCCCACCTGTAACGACTCCTCGGCAGGGAAGGAGCTGCGCAGAAGCAGGCGAAGCCGCATCCCGGACAAGCCCAACTACTCACTCAACCTGTGGAGCATCATGAAGAACTGCATCGGCAAGGAGCTCTCCAAGATCCCCATGCCCGTGAGTCAGCTTCCCCGAATCGCCGCTCTTATTGGCAGAGAGCCAGGAACCGTGATGCATTCTGGGTATAAATGACCTGCCGCTGCCCACCTCTCCGCAGGTGAACTTCAACGAGCCACTGTCCATGCTGCAGCGGCTGACGGAAGACCTGGAGTACCACGAGCTGCTGGACAAGGCGGCGCGCTGTGACAGCTCCCTGGAGCAGATGTGCTATGTGGCGGCCTTCTCTGTGTCCTCCTACTCCACCACTGTGCATCGCACAGCCAAGCCCTTCAACCCGCTACTGGGGGAGACCTATGAGCTGGACCGGCTGGAAGAGTATGGCTATCGCTCCCTCTGTGAGCAGGTGAAGCTGGGGCTGACTGGGGGGGGTCACAGAAAAATAAGTCAATGTTTATTTATCAAATGCACAACAGTACACCAAGCGGTGCTAGAATGATGGAATAAATGATGGAAATATGCAAAGAATATAAGAATAAGGTGTGCAGATTGAATGTCTGGCTGGCACGCATAAGGAGAGACCCAATTCTTTATGATGAAAACACCAGGCAGTTTTATTCTGAGCTCAGTCAATATCTTGGTTGATCCATTTCTTATGTATCCAGTCCAGTTGTGGTTGACCAGAAACAAATCCATACTCAAAGATGCAGAATCATATAGGCATAAACTGTACATGTGCGTAACAGGTGTAATGAGAGTCACAAGGAGAGCTAGAGGCAGACGCTTGGTGGAGTTGCTGAACCTAAGCCCCCCGGTGCACTTTGATATGCCTCCTTAGGTTAGCCACCACCCCCCAGCGGCGGCCCACCACGTGCAGTCACTGCGTGGCTGGTCACTGTGGCAGGAGATTACCATCAGCAGCAAGTTCCGTGGAAAATACCTGTCCATCATGCCTCTGGGTAAGGCTGCCGTGTCAGCAGGGCATCTCCATGGTAACTCTGTCTTGTTGGCCTTACACTTCTACACATAGTAGTAATTTAGTGTCCACCATGATGGATTCTGATGAAATGTAAACAAATTCACGCTGCATCCTAGGCTGAATAAATATGGCCCTAAATAAAGTTAACGTAAATGTCTCGTGAACTTTTTAAAATAAAAACTGCTACTTTTATCACACTTTCGTTATATATTGATTTACTCTTCACACACAACTTGGACATTAATTGAGCAGTAATCCATTCAATTATGAAAAAAATCCCCATTCTCACAACCTGGGTTAGTAATAAAAATGTGGGTGCAGTCAATAGCTCTCCCATACAATCCAGCTGTTTTCTCCCTCCTTGGTTCAGAATGAATGTACTGATCCTTTAACACATGCAGTTGCCTTTTATACGCTGCTGACAATTCTGCAGACTGTGGACTTCCAAAAAGATCCCTATAGCAATTCCCTATAGCATAAAAACGCAAAGCTATTAGGAGCTGGAGAAGTGGAGGTACAGCAGAGTTCCTGTCACTTCCATGCTTAACAGCTGGTCCAACCTTCCCATTGAGGTATATGACAGACTCTTTTGTAAATCTATACCACTGGAAAAACTCACTATTGTTATAAAATGCACTTGATTTTAACCTGTCTTGAATTTTCCTGCAACGAAGAAATGCAGCCATGTTGTCTGAAACTGAAACAGACCTAACATAAACCTCCACAAGGAGTGGTTTAAATATGACTGCTAATCCAGCTTTATGCTAGGTTTAAATTCACTGGTACAACACACTTGAATTTAAACTAAGTTTAAGTTGAAATGAAACTGAGATTGCCAAAGGTTTAGATTTAACCAGGATTAACTGTAAACTATATTTAAACTAGATTTAAATTTTGGTGCAACAGGGTTAGTAGATCAATCTTGATTTCATCCAGTTAAATCATGTTGGTGCAACCCAGTCTCCCGAAGTAACTTACATAACATACAAACAGGTATTCTGGATAATTAACTGGGCCAATTCAGATGATTTTTGGATCTAACAGCAGGAATCTCTATTCCTCACCAGTGTACTGCTTGGCGCCATTAAAATGGCCCACTGAGCAACATGATTGACATCCTGCTGACAGATTGTGCTTTTAATCAGAGGAGCAGCAACCAGGACCAATAACAGTCTCTGTATGAGGTGTTGACTTTATTATTGCAGCTGGGGGAGCAGTGTATTCTGGGAGAGAGGTACTTTTTCAGTGCTGTGTGTGAAGATGGTGCTGTGACTGCAAGCCCTCTGAGAATGGGGTCTGTAATATTAACCTCCCATGCTGACAGGTGGCATAAAATGGAACGATGTCACCCTGCCGGATGTCATTTTCTTGAGTTCTCCATCAGGCTAAATCGATTCATGCCCCCACGGCCGATCTAAATTTCATTGAAAAGATGATTTGACCAAAGAAGCATTCACATGGATTGTGGGATGACTCAGCGTTGTAAAGGTGGGGTTTTATGTGATCCTACACCCATCCGTACGAGTCTCAGCCGAGAAGCTCCCAGTCCCTCTTCCACCGACTTGCCCCCACACACCTTCTCATCAATGTTTCCGCATTAGGGATGCACTCGCCCCTGGAAGACTCTAATCTTACATTTAGATGGTTTGTTTTAATTGGAGACTGATTAACACTGATACACTAAGTGAGGTGACTTATCCAGTTAACCAATTACTCTACTGCAGTAATTAAGAGCCCAGACTGGCATTACACCCCCCAGGACGGACATTGTGCAGCCTTGTTGTCTGACATTTGAAGCTCTTTTGGTTTGTATTTGCTCATGTTTTTATATTTTTTGTGAAAGCGGCTTAATCACCTTCCTCTCTGCAGGCGCCATCCACCTGCAGTTCCACGCCTCGGGGAACCACTACGTGTGGCATAAGGTCACATCCACTGTGCACAACATCATCGTGGGGAAACTGTGGATTGACCAGGTCTGAGCCATCCCTGTGCCCTCTCCTGCTCCTCATACATGCTCCTCAAACTTTCCTGTCACACTTCTCACACGGTCCTTTCATGCACCTCACACACACCTCACACGCTCCTGACATTCAACTCACACACTCTTCTCATGTACAATCCTACCATCTCTCTCCTCTTCAGTCTAGCTGGGCACCAGTTGCCCATAAAAAGTCATCTGCGTCTCTTTGGATTTACCCCACTTTCATTTCCAAAAATATCCCCTCCTTGCCAAAGGAGCAGTGCAGCTGACACAATTAGAGCTGCTGGTCCACAGGGGGCCCCGCATGTGTGATTGCCCACCCCTTTCCCATGACTGCAAACTGCCCCCCACTTCTGGCCAGCCTCTTAAATTAACCACTGCCAGACTCCTGGGAGCTTTCATTTTAGTAACTGTTTGCTTGGTTGGACTGTGGGGGTCTCATTCACCCCATCACTGTGCTTTGGAGTCACTGACTTTCCTTGCTTGCCCACTGTCTGTCGCTCTCTGACTTTTTTTCCATCACTCTGTCGCTCACCATCCCTCTCTTTCAATCCCTCCATCATCTGTGTACCATTCAGTGACCCATTTCTTTTTCTTTCTTTCATTTCTAAAAATCTCCTTTTCTCCCCCTGTCTCCTTCTCTCTGCAGTCGGGGGACATCGACATCGTCAACCACAAGACCAAAGAGACCTGTCAGCTCAAATTCTCCCCGTACAGCTATTTCTCTCGGGATGTCCCACGCAAGGTGAGCCTGGACCTTTGGAGAGGAGCAGCTTCCCACTATAATTGGAGTAATTGGTTAGTCACAAAGGTAGCCCAGACCTTACGGTGCAGCATTTGTAATGTACCAGAAATTAATTGCTTTGGTAGTGATGCCCTCTACTGGTCAATATGATATTTCCTGTTCAAACAACAGTTGAGTGTTTAAATGAATTGATTAGCTAGTGTGAATTTGCATTGTCCAGTTTGGCTGTCCGCTCATTGCCAGGTCACGGGCATGGTGATGGACACCGACAGCCAGGCACACTACATTCTCTCCGGCACGTGGGACGACAAGATGGAGAGCGCTAAGATTGTGCAGAGCAGCCGTGGTAACAGCGGCTCCGAGGGCAAGCAGAAGACCGTCTACCAGACCCTGACACCCAAGCTGCTCTGGAAGAAGTACCCCCTGCCGTACGTACCCCCTCCTCCATGCATCTGGCATCACCGACTGCCCTGGCCAGGCCTGAGTCTTCAATGTGCAACCACAGCCATGATCCGCACCAGTCGGTCTCGCTGCAAAGTCCCCTTGGTAACGGAGGTCAGCTGATGGCATTGGTGTTGCCAGTTTTAATGATCTTGAGTTAACCAGATCCCAGATAAAGCGGAGCACTCCCTCAGGAAAGCTGTAAGAAGCCACTGAAATGAGGGCTTTATCATTGCAGTTATAAGTGGCATTACTACTGAAGTACAGCAAGGTTTTCATGGGACCTGCATGAAGTTGGCCCCCCATATGTTTCAGATTTCAACCAAACTGGTCTCAATCGTATGTGCCGCGTTTGTGCCGGATTGTGCCTTTAAAATTTTTGTTTGTGCTGTTTTAGTTTCTGAGATATAAATGTGTGTTTACATTGTGACGTCATTAGCGTGAAGTTGGCCCCCCATTTGCGTCAGATTTCCACCAGACCGATCGCAATCGTGTGTGCTGGTTTGTGCCGTTAAAACTATCCTTTGTGCTGCTTTA